TCTCTCTCTCTCTCTCTCTCTCTCTCTCTCTCTCTCTCTCTCTCTCTTGTTCGCTCTCCCTCGTGCTCTGTGAGCTCCTCTTTGTGTGAAATGTCCTTGGTAAAAGCTATCAAAGTTAAACTTTAAAATGTTCTCGGACAGAAATTCTTGCCAAAGGAAAGGCATTTCTTGATGCATGTTTGAAAAAGCCTTTGAGGTGAAGAGATGTGCCTTTGCTCCGTCCTGAACCTGGCATACAATGTAGATTTCTGTGTGGTTCAATTGTACAGCTACATTGTCTGCTGGGTTTCTGGCTAGTAACATAAGCAGCATTTATATAACCCTCCAGTGCACAAAAAAGGTAAGTATTCATTTACTCTGACCCTGACAATTCAATAAAAAGGAAATATTCATCATTAATAGTACTGAATGATGCGTGGTGTCATTTGTCAGACTGAAAATCAAATTTGAAGAGAGGAAAGAAAAGAAACCTGGAATCTGCAGAATCTAAATTGATTCAGTGTTGCTCCAGCGTCCCAGGAGTTAACCCCCGAGCAAGAGATGCCAGGAATATTCTAGTAGCTCAGCACAAAGCCGGCTCGTTGTCTGTCAGGAGGTTGTCAGACTGCTGTCAGGCAGGCTCCTTATTAGTGGGATAGCACTGTCTTCCTTACAGCCAACACACAGACACACCCACACACACACACACCTGGGATTATACCACAAACTTCACAGAAACCAACAATGCTTTCAGAAGACATTGTGCGTGAAGACATTGTGTGCATCTGTGAAACTTTCTGTCACCTTACACAAAGGCCGTGGACCCCAAAAGCAACTTTTACAGCCGCATGTTTGTTTTCATTTTACTGCGCATTTGAAGGAAAATAAAGATACACGCAACTAAACTGTAATTTGCCGTGTCTCCGTCTGATTATTTCTGATGGTTGCCTCTCTCTGGGGAGTCTTCTTTACACACACACACACTGCAGGGAATCCAGGCAGATACATACATGTATAACGAGGAGCGTATCCATGTTCCCATGGTCCTATGTTCTCCAGCTCAGTGCGCTTTAGATATGACACATTACGGAGACTTTCCAAAGGGGTTTATGTCATGTTTATGTGATGTCATGTTATGTATCCCACTGATATTATACTCCTTGAAACCTACGCCATCAAATTTGTGCACAAGAAAGCATTTTTCTCAACTAAAAGATAATGACACTCTTTACGACTAGTAGCCTTTTTACTATATTATTTTACTCATTACTATTGTTTTATTTTATTTAATCAATCTATTTACTTTCCCTTCTGGACATGTCTGAGTTTACTTGACTGTTTTGTTGATGAATCTCATTGTTTAGTGAAAAGCCTTAAAATAAAGTATGAAAAAAGAGGAAAAGACCATCTGCTTTTGTTGTTAGTTCACATCGAGCACATAGGACCCTGTGAACATGTGACCCAGGAGACAGCAGCAGCCGTGCAGAAGGCAGGTGAACTGGCTCTGTAAACATAAATGACGGCGCTGCGCCGTACAAGAAACCTGAAAACAGGGGACATGGTTCTACAGCAGAAGATGAAGGAAGTGAGTGTTTATTCAGCGGTGCTGTCCAGGTCTCGTCTCGGCCCCTGCAGCAGTACTGTGAAAATATAATGAGTCTCCACAGCTCAGACAAGAGGAGAAACAACGCTCCCTCACAACAGCAGGCCGTCTGAATATAGCTTCTCAGACGAAAGACAGCGAATGGGTTATTGGTCACTGCAATTGTTCTCTCCACAAAAGTGAAAGTGAATCCCTCTCTGATGTCATTCCAAAGCAAGAAACATCACAATCCTCGTTACAGCGAAACAGAATTGTAATTTCAGCAGAAGCGAATACGAGTAAAGCTTAAAACAATCCGCTGTTTAATTGGTTAGTGGACTGACAGAAAATACATTTTGATAATTAATTTAAAGTCATTATTTCACCAAAAACAACACAAAAAAAAACTGTCACGGTTCCAGTGAATTGTTGCTGCTGTTCTCCTTTGTTGGGCTTGTTGGTTGGACAAATTAAGGCATTTGAATACATCAAAACTGAAAATAATTGTTTCAGCAATCTTACAAACTCATAAACTTTCAAACACAAAAGTTATTGTGTGTGTTACTGTCCCTCCTGTCTGTCCAGAGCCAATAACACCACGTTTGCACCATGCGAGCTGTGATTTGCTCACAGATCACTTTCATGAAATGGGCGCACAAAGAGCAAATTCTGCACTTCATTTTCAAATATATCCACTCGATTTGATCAAATAGGAACAATTACAGCCTCCAATGGCTCTCTTAATGTACGCACTTATGCAGTGTGACCATGTCTGGTTTTCAATGGTAGAAACACAACACTTACACGTTAATTCTGCCTTTTCACGACTCAAGTAAACAGCTTCTGCATGTAAACTAAAGACTTGACGTGATTTCAACAGTAAACTGTTACATTCCTGTCATGTATGTTGTAAAATAATGTTAGAGATCAAATCTTTAAATCTACTGAACCTTTAAGTATCTTGTAAATACATACATTCCATAAACAGATACCATAGCGGCGTAATTACAGCAGATATGATCTCATGAACTCCTCTGGGTACGATTACAATGGATTTGTTTTTATCGTGAGTTCGCTCTACATCTCCCACACTGATCAATACATGGTCCTGTTGTCTGTGTCTCACCCCTCAAGTCCTCAAGTGCAGCCACTCAGAATACTTCGCCAGGCGAGCGAATCCATCAGGACCCACTGTGAGAATCCCAACAATGCGAAAGGTTGCTAATGGCTCGTAATGGGAGGGGGTGTGTGGGAGGTTTATTGTTGCTTTGATAAGCTTGACGATGACGCGCGTGGTGTGAGGACTGCATGCAAAGTCAGAGTGTAAAACAACAAGAGCCAGCTGACAAAACCAGTGATGATGATGATGATGATGATGAGAAAAAAACGGTGGGAAAAAAGGCCATCTGTCTTCCTCTATCACACACAGACGCTTTCAAGGAGGACAGGGTATAGAAGGTGAAGGTACCGTCATCAGTGACGTCATCAGCTGGTGTGAACCGTCGCACCGTGTTTTGCTACAAACACACGGCTGATATGCTACATTAGTCTCTGTGGTTTAAAGGGGTCTCAATGAGAGAGTTGACACTTCCATCCCTGAACTTGGAAGAGAAGTTTCAGGACGTGTTTTGTTATTTTAGCACCTTACCATGAGCATGTATTTAAATTTCGGACAGGACTGTGTTTGTAGTGTCATAAGGAAACAACGCTTTCAAGTGACAAAGCCCTCGAGCGACTTTAGCAGTTATAACACTTGTCTCATGTCTCTGTTGTGAAGCCACACAGTTTGCAGAGGGTGGATGTGTGTCAATAAAAGATGGGATCATGACTATTTGTAGTTTGATATAGAGGACCTTGTTGTAGCTGTAAAATGCACAAAGAGCAGAACTAAGAAGAAAATAATAACTTTAAAAAGTGTTTTACCAAATATCATCTTTAGGTTTTCCCTTGTCTCAGTAACACAGCTTGAAAAAAAAAAGTTTGATGAGGTTTTTTATTAGCTCGTATCTCTCAGGTCCTGGTTTGTTGTACTATTAGTGTTCTCCGTGACCGAATGGTGTGTATTGTTATGTCAGATCCCCATACTGTATATGTTGCGCTGCCATTTTGGCCGGGTCTCTCTTGTAAAAGTTTATCTCGAGAGACTTCCTGGTTAAATAACGGTTGGAAAAGGAAATAAGAGAATCAATCAAACTGATTAAACACCTTCTGATAATGTGTTCGGGAATTGTACTTTGAAAATCCAACACTTAGAGCTGGAAGAAACGTTGCATTAGAGATTTAAAAGTTGATTTCTTTCTGCGTCCTCCAGACACTTTGAACGGAGAGCTGTGTTGAAGTGGAAGCGGGAGACGCTCCAGAAACACTCGTTGTGCATTGATATTTTAGAGGTCGGTTTCCTTTAAACGTCTACTTATTTCCAGTAAAGTTTCCAATGCCACAGAGTCCCATTCAGGCTCTCTTTGTTTTAGTATAATAAGCAAGTTTAAAGGATTAACAAACAGACTGGCTTTCACGTTTCACTGTCGGTGATAAAAACTTGAGTTTTGGCTTAAGTCTGGCTCCTTTCAAAGCTCCAGTCCTCTCTGATGGTCACACCAAGTAAGTAAGGAGTCTCCATAGTCCAGGTAGAGACCACACCCACCAAGAGGAGGTGGGATTTAGGTTGAGAAGTATATACAGTATTAGAGAACATAGATTAATTCCATTACTGTATTAATATTTATATATTTTTCATTAAACACATGGATTAGAAGCAAAAGAGTGGTAATGTTTTATGTGGAGCTTTAAAACTCAGTTGTCCTGTGTGTTAAACTGTATTTCTCAAAGTGTTGCTAGTTTATCCAAGCAATTCATTGGAATCAATCAATTGGAAATAAACTAATTGAACCTGTCTCCATTTTCCCTGTAATGAGTAGCATGCACATGACATTTTTAGCATAACACTTTAATTTAATATTAGGAAATGATTTATAAACTAAGGAACCGTAAAATAATGTTGACAAAAGAATTCACAAACCCCCCCCCCCCCCCCCCCAAAAAAGGCACATTTAAAAAAAATATACAGGTGGAAGAGGAGTTGATGTACCGACGGGGACCCTTGTTGCCTTATAGTTATATTTCACATCTGTGATGTCTTTATTGTCAATGAAGGCATAGAATTCCCCAAAAATACTTTAAAGGTGGTAAATTCCAAATTCATAGCAAATCTAAGATGGAGATATGGCTTCACCGCGGCTCTCAGCAAAATAACAAAAGCTAAAAGTGAAGGAGAGGAGAGGAAAATATGGAGGCTTAAAGATGACGGAGATAAAAAAAAAACTTGTAAATATTCAAATAAATTATAATCAGTTTTGTATTTCATTATTATTTTAAGCCCTCGCCTCTAAACTCTGATCGACCTATTCCATCTCCATCTTTGCT